TTCCCCAGGCCACCTCGGCCTGCCTGGTCCACTAAGTCCCGTGGCAGAAAAACCACCAGCTCCCTAATATACCGTACGCATGCATTGGCTTTGTATTAAAATCACATCAGTTTATTTTCTGCTTCCCTGTCCCGCTGCCCTCCACAGCAAACTCAGCCATGCTCACAGCAGGATCTATGTTGATCCAAGCTATATCCAATTTGTGGACACTGTCTCCGATATTGTCTTCATGCTGCTTCAGTTTAACGGCACTTGTGGTATGGCAACTGTGCTGCACCCTTGGGACTTCCCAGCTGAGAACCACATTCTGCTTTTCACACCTTGCATTGTCTCTTTACTCAGCAGCACTTTTTAGTGATCTGGCTCACCTTTCTGGTCTCATGCACCAGCCTGGCCCTGTGATATCTGGAAAGGAAAGTACAGGCGGTTGCTCAGAATTCAAGGAAACATTTCGATTGCTCTTAGGTTTGCTAAAGCGTCTTCATATCAAGCCTGCATTTGGGTCCTGAAGAGGGTCCCTTTTCACCAGTCTTCAGCACCATTTAGAGAAGCTGTTGCTTAGAAGTGCCAGGCTTGCTTAGTTCACGCTTTAGGATTTTCTGACACCACCTAAGTGTCTCAAGGGCTGTGAAACACTCACAGAGACAAGCCAAGAGTCAAGGCCTGTCTCATTTTAAATGGTGCTTGCATAGTCAGGTGCAATCCGCCCCAATAAAAGCCTCCTGTGCCAATCTCAGCAACCATTAGAGGAAGGCTTTCTCCCTCCATGTAATGGTGCATTTATTCAAGCGTTCCTTCCTAGCAGACACACATCCTACAGCAGGATTTCCCAATCCAGTGCAGTTCACAGGTGTGGATGCTTACCTGAAGTGCACTCATCCAACTCTCCTGGCCAATGCATTTTAAACTGGTTTAAAGCCATCAGCCTCAGGGAGGTATCCTTACCTGTGAAAGAGATCAAGATAGACAACAGCTGGAGCAACCTTCTTGACATCAGCAATAAAACTGTCCTGTAGAGCAAGCTGGCAGGCAGTGGGCAGCCGGGGGACAAAGCATTGCCCTGCCTGTTTCTTATTTCCCTTGCAAACCTCAGTCCTCTGCAGTCAGAAGCAGTCACCGAAGGGCTTAGCCAGCTGTCACCACGGCCATCTCCTTCCACGCACTCTGCAGCACAACTGCAGAATAAACGCACTGTTCACAATGCAGATTATGGGCATTGCAGAAAGACAACTATTACCTAAGCCTGCCGTGTCTCTAAGGCACAGGTAGACAGGATGGGAACCATCTCTCTCATCACCAAAGCCACCAGTTCTTCCCCTGCCTCTCAGCATTACTCTGCAAAGCTTACACCCGTTAGCCCTTTGCTCCTGTTCCACAGATGGGCATCCATCTCATTGCCCCTCCTGGAGTTTCTGGTGTGCCTTGAATTGGCAGCTGAGCTGCTCCCATCTGTTTTCTCCCTACTTAGTCTATGCCCAACTCTGATCCATAGTTTCATAGTTGGTAGATCATCAAGCCATGGCAGGAAAGAGCACTGGGGTCAAACGACCCCAGCAAGGTGTTCATCCAGCCTCCTCTTAAAGACCCCCAGGGTAAGAGCCAGCACCACTCACTTGGAAGTTGGTTCCAGATCCTAGCCGCCCTGACCGTGAAGTAGCGCCTCCTGATGTCTAGCCTGAATCTACCCTCTGCCAGCTTGTAACTGTTATTCCTCGTCACTCCTGGTAGCGCTTGAGGGAACAGGGACTCCCCCCGACCAGTTTGTAAATGGCAACTAGATCCCCCTCAGCCTTCTCTTGTGGAGGCTGAACAGGTTCAGGCCCCGTAGCCTCTCCTTGTAGGGCCTGCCCTGCTGCCCCCTGACCATGCGAGTGGCCCTCCTCTGGACCCTCTCCATGTTGTCTACATCCCTCCTGAAGTGCAGCTTCCAGACCTGGACACGGTACTCCAGCTGTGGCCTGACCAGTGTCGCACAGAGGGGGAGGATCACTTCTTTGGACCTGCTGAAGATGCATCTGTGGCTGCATGACAAGGTGTGGTTGGCCTTCCTGACCGCGTCCCCACACCATCGGCCCATGTTCATTTGGCCTCAATAATGACTCCAAGATCCTTTTCTGCCTCTGTGCTGATGAGAAGGGAGTTCCCCAGCCTGTAGGTCTGCTGCTGGTTCTTCCCCACCAGGTGCAGTACTTTGTGCTTGTCAGTGTTGAAACCCATCCTTGTTCTCATCCACCCACCCCTGTAACCTGTCTGGGTCCGATTGCAGCCTATTCATCCCTTCTAACGTGCCCAATTCCCCCCACATGTTAGTGTCATCTGCAAATTTGAACTGGGTGCTTTTTACCCCCTCATCCAAGTCACTGATGAAAAAGTTGAACAGTGTGGGCTCGAGGACCGAGCCCTGGGGGCCCCCACTGTCTACACCCCTCCAGTCCACCACCACTCTCTGGGTGCGGCCCTCCAGCCAACTAGTGACCCATCAGACTGTGTAGGTGTCTATGCCACAGTCCCCTAGTTTTTTTTAATGAGAATGGGGTGAGAGACAGTGTCAAAGGCCTTCCTGAAGTCCAGAAATACTACGTCCACCGCGACACCTGCATCTAAGGATTTTGTGACCTGGTCATAGAAGGCCACCAGGTTGGCCTGCCTGTAATGAACCCATGTTGGTTGGCCCTAAACATAATCTCCCCTGCTGAGAGATTATGCTTAGGGGCAACCCCCTCCCCTCCTCAGGGAATCGCCACATTAATTTGGGGATGATTTGCCGAGCATGGGCATTCTCGTGAGCGGCAAAGTGAAGGCAGGGCAGCCAGTTATTTGATCCAACCAGCACCGGTAGCGTAATGCCATTAAGATCCAAGGTGGTTTTTATACTGATCAGTCTAGCCAGAGGTCTGGAAAGAATTCTCCCCTCCAAGGTACCGTGGGGATTTGTCCCCTTTCCCTGAGCAGCACCTAAAGGAATCATTGGTTTCCATTAGCTCCATTCCACGCCGTCCTGGAGGAGACCAGGGACAGTCACGGCTTGTTACTTCTTTTATGCACGTCACGACTGTCAACCAGCACGCCAAGAAGCGAAAAGACAGAGGGTCCTACATTTAATGCACATGAGCATGGCTAACAGCAGAGGACTTGAATGTGTAGCCCACTATGCTGCCACATCAGACAACCCACATCATCACCAGACCGAATCACAAGCAGTCCAGGGGCTGAGGTCCACTCACCTGCAACTCAACTGACGTTGTATAGGCCACCACCTGCTTACCGTGCCCCTTGCTGTCCACGTCAGACGCAAGGGGCCATCACTACATGCAAGAAGGAGGGAGCACAGCTCTGACACCAGCTGCAGAAGAGCGCGCACAGGCCAACGGCAGGACGTGGCAGCCTCCCTGGACACCCGTCGCTGGCCTGGGGAAGGGGCTGTTCTCAGGCAGAAAAAGTGTGAAAGCGGGTTTGAAAGGGAAATTGCAGAATAAGGAATCATCCACAGACTGGACTATGTTGTCTGGTTTAAATGGGGACTGTGGAGTCTCACCTCCTTGCACAGCTTAGTTTCCATGACCCCTTTGGTCCTAGGGGCTCTTTGCATGTTTGCTTCCCCCAGCACTGTCCCTCCCTCCTCTCTTCCAGTCACTCACCCCACCTCACCCCCCCGCTCTCTGCTGTCCCCTCCCAGCCTCTGATGAAGTGAGCCCTTGTGCTCTAGTTCTTCGGTGGTCTCTAAGGGGCGTATCTCCCCTGCCGCCGCCTTTGGCAGAGGACCGTGGGCGAGAGGCTGTGCAGGGGGAATCGCGCCAGGTCTGTTTCCAGGCTTGGGTTAAACCCACCTCCGTCCCACCTGCATTTCTCCTCTCGCTGCCATGGCCCCAACCCACATGCTCATCATGTGGGTGCTTCCTGGCTCGCTTCATCCCAGTACAGAGCTCATGGCCAGCACAGCAGGAGGCACCTTCCTGCCCAGCCCACAGCTCTGGGGATAAGGGTCCCTCCGTACATCTGCTGCCTGGCTGAGTGCCACAACCTCCTACCAAACCCTCGGCCAGTGCACAGGGACCAGGACACACAGAAGGGGTCTGGGCAGAGGAGCCGGTGCCATCCTGCCGGAGAGAGCCCCTCAAGCCAGCTCCACACAGGAGACCCTTGCCCACAGGGCCCTTTGCTCCCCAGCCCAGGGCTGCTCAAGAAACCTTTCCTGACTGCTGGCAGGATGGTGAGGCTGGGCTGTGAGACACCAGTGCACAACCTGGCTGCCAGGCCTGCGGCAGGACGAAAGAGAGGAGCAGAAAGGTGGGGAGGGCACCAGCCTGAAGCCAGGCAGCACCTTGGATCCTAAGAAAACACTTTACTGCTGGCATAAGCCAGCTCCGGCTGCTCACAGCTGCTCCCCTGGCACAGGCTATGCTGGAGGGAGCAGCTGGGGCACACAGTGACCCAGCCTGTTCCCACCTGGCTGCAGGGAAGCCGGTCAGCCTGGGCATGGCACAAGCCTTGGAAGGATCCCCCTCTGCTTTGCGGTCAGGGTGGGACCAGCCACAGCGCCCCTTGGTTCCCCCGGTTGGGGTGCTCCAGGCTCCTGAGCTGGGGAGAAATCTCCTCCCAAAGATGAGCTGGTCCATACCTATCCCCTTCCCTTCCCTTCCCTGGGAAGCAGCGGAAGCTGCCAGTGCTGGAGACACGCTCCAGAAGGAAGGGATCCGCAGGCTCGCACGTGCTGTCACTGATGGGGTAGAAAGGGCTGAGCCGCTCCAGCGTCTTGCAACTGGCTCTAGGCACCAAGCTGCAGCCCTGATCTGGACTTACCTGGAAGGTGGTTTCCTCTCCCCCCCTCCCTGGCCCACGTGCACCTGCAGGCAGGGGAGCCAGGTGCAGACACGCAGTATGCTTGCAGCCAGCCGCTGGCTGGACAAAGAGGCCAGGCTGCTGAGCTGCCATGGCATTAGAAAGGGGCGGGGATTTTTTAACACAGGTTATCCTTGGTAAAAGAAGTCTCTGACAACACGTTTTCTGGAAAGATTTCACACAGATTTTTACTACAAAACAAGCAACCAAAGTTTTCCACTACACACTGCAGAAGGAGTAGCGAGAAGCATCGCATCAGTGTGGCTTTGTGCACTCACAGTTAGTCTGTGCACGGGAGAACCATTCACAGCTGAAGATTACTGGTGCCAGTATCGCAACAAAATGCACAAGCAGCTCACAAAAAAACCCCCAAAACTCAAACCCTCCCATTTCAGTCTTAGCATTTGCAACGAACTCCACTCAAATAAGTTGCACAGGGACTGAGAGGAAAGGGGAAGGGAAATAAACCTGTGTGACTATCAAAGTGTGTCTCTACACTGTGTGCGGTCCCGACATATGTTCAATAATCCAAGATATGCACCAGCTTAACCTGAAAAACTGGCTGGTATTTTATATGGAAGTGTATTTCTTCCACAAATGGAGAGCTCTTCCCATGTGAGCATGGGAGGAATCAGTACCAGAATTAGCCAGTCTCTGCACGTTACACCTTCCAGAGGCTTACTCTTGCACAAGCATCACAAGGCTTTGGTGTGAGCACCTCCCTGTGGGGAAGGCACCCCCTGTCTCTAAAAGGCACTTGAAATACACAGCAATTATGTACAAAAACAGCTGAGCCATGTTGGCGTCATCATGTAAAACACCCCTGCACCCAAACACGTCCCCCTCACGCCGTTCCTTTCATACGAGCTGCTGTCGCACTGCATGGGGATCCCCACGGGAGCTGGAAACACAATCGCAGGCCGTGCCTCATCCCCAGCGGTATGTCAGTGAGACGATACAAGGACAAGGCTCGGGCAGGAGCGCGCACACATTTTACCGTATGTTATTTCTCGTCAAGGGCTCCCTGCTGATCTGGACGGGGGTCCGCCCCAAGTGGTGGGAATTCACTTGACGCCGGACAAGCACACCCGAGTCGGCATGCCCAGCTTGCACAAGAGCAGCACAGCGACCAGAGATTCGCCTCCAAGACCCCTGCCTCCACTTTACGTTCACATGCCACTAGTCTGTGGCCTTTGGAGCCAGCCTTGGGGCTGCTCCATGAGCAGAGAAAAAGGGAACACTGCAGTTACCATTACAGCCGTGCAGCTTTCCTCTTCACTACTTCACACCTCTGCTACAGGCTTAGGCTCTTGCCCACCCAGCTCCCACAGACCCTGCGGTACTAATTCAGCACAAGTGGCTGCCATGTCTGCAGCCTTTCCAATCGTCTACGGTCGTCTGCAGCTGTAGGTACTGCCCTTGGCCTAAGCACTCCTATTGCTTGCCCCTGCTCATTTGTGGCTCATACATGCTTACAATTAGTTGTTAAATATTTCAAAAGGGGCCATTATCTCAGCCTAAATAACACTATGGCTATCAAAAACACTAGGGCAAAGAAAGCCAAAAAGGAGAAGCAGTCCCAGCACAGGTGTCAGCAATTCCATTGCAGGAAAACCATGCTATTTGCATCAACCCTGGTTCATTTTCATAGTTACCATGTTTTCCTGCCTCTGCTGAGAACAGGTGTGTGAACTTCCCTAGTTGGGAGGCTCCCTTTGTTATTTCTGGACTAGAACTGCCTTACGAGAGCACAGGAGGATGATCAGATTCCTGGTCCCTGCCTCTCCAAAAATGTACTGGTTAATCATGCTCTGGCCAACTCTTTCCAGGAAGAGAACAGGTGCAACTGCCTTCAGGTTGCGTGGCTGTCAGGCTGATGTATTGGCTTTCACGGCATGTTCCTGGAGCACTTTTAAAGCTGCTGTTTCTCCAACACATCCTCCAACACATGCTACAATTTCAAAACAAGAGCAAGGCAGGCAGGAGTGATTTTTGAACTCACTTTCTAGTCAGCTGGCTGCCTTTTCTTCTAGCAGTCATCTTCTTGCATATAAAGACTGTTCCCACAACAGCACCATGCACTGCGGGGGATATGGAAGACATGGAGGACCAGAGCTTACAAAAAATCCACAAAAGCTTCCCATAGGCAATACTTTGAACTCCTTACTCTGGTTTCATTTTGCTTTAGTTCTGCATGATCGTTCCAACCCGGGCATGTGCTGGTTTCTTATTTTAATACAGCACCCGCTCCTGCTAGTTCCTACTCGGGCAAAGCTGGCCCCGACATCGCTGCCAGTTTTGTCCGAGCGAGGGCGGGAAGCGAGTGGGCTCAGAGCAGAGGCACAGGCACACAAGCAGGATGTATAACTTCTCAGTCCGGGCAAACCTCATCCCTGTGCAAGGTTTAAGGGGGGTATGTATGTTTTGCATAGGCTTTGCGCAGCGTTCACAACTCACGCAACAACATGAGGCACTACTGAATCTCTCACGGGGAAGAGAGAGGCAGGAAAGAGGTGTCGTTTCTACATGCTAGCTGAGACAAGAGGTTACGTACCCATTTCTTTGGTGACAGCGTTCCAGTTCCTCTCTGATCACGGAATAGCTGAATCATCTAGCAAGTGCTTTGCATTCACCATGCATCAACTCGTTCCCTTATGGGTGCCTGCCGAGGTACGCTGGTACAAATACCAGCTAGCACGGCCTAGTTGGAGAACCAAATCATCCCGATTTCTTTGTACATGGTCTGCTTTCATTGCATGAAACATTCCAAGATTCAGGCATTTAACAGTCTGTTGTGGCCAAGCGCCCGCAATACAAACCTGGATATATATACCTGAGAATATGTGTGCCACAGAGTCCCTGCTCCAGACAGCTTGCAAAAGAGTGGTCCTAACCTTTCCTCACATTTTAAAAAAACATAAATATACCAAGAAATCGGTTTTGTTTTTCCAACCGGGACGTCATACATGGGTCAGACCAAGGAGTCTTTGCTGCAGCCTGACGGCGCACAAGGGGAATGAGTAGAAAAGGAGCGAATCGACAGCAGAGAGGCGTTACTACGTGGTCAGTGCTGCAGAGCAAAGAGCTGGTCCCCTGGAAAAAAACTACGTTACAGCTGCAACCTTCTCCTTTTTTAAATTAGATTTCCGGGTGTCTTGCAAACTCCATGTTTGGGCCCACTGGGGGGGTTTCTCAATGGCTCAAGAGAACTGAGAATCCTACCCCTATTGCCCAACATGAGCATGGGCCCACACCTGCCCCTGCTGCTTGGAAAAAAACCCATCTCCCCCTCTGCTTCCTGCATGGTTTCCCTGAGATCCAAACAGGCGGAGCTGCTGAGGGTGTCATCGCTCTTCTAGGGCAGAGCCCAGGGGCCTGATGCTTCCCATGTGACATAGGTGCACATGACTGAAATGCCATGCACCTGCCAGGTGGGTTTGTATCAGCCCCTCCTGGTATCCTTCTAATGAGCACCAGGCATTTCTGTTACTGCCAGCAGCTCCCCCTCTCTTCCTCCATCAACTACCTTGATCCCCCCGTCTGCCATGAAGGGGAAGAGACCAGAGAAGGAATTTGGGACATTAAAGATGAGGTTTCAGTGGGGAAGAAAATGGGAGCTATCAGGAATGCTGGTCTCTCCTCCCTTTGGGGAGAGCACAGTCACCGAGGAAGTGGGCCAGACTAAATCTTGTACGGGAACATAAGCATTGCCATTTCCTGCGTCAGACTATACGTCCATCTTGCCCGGTCTCCCACGTCACAGTGGCAGAGAGCAGGTGCTAGAACGGAGAGGGACCCGGGTCTGACCAGGGCTTTCTTCCTGTTCCTCTCCCATGTACAGCCGACAAGAGACTGATAATAAAGTTGGAGAATAAAGGCCAAATTCATCAGGGTGAACCCAGCAGCATGGAACCAGGGACAGAAGAGGCTCGGTGCTCTGGACACGCTGACTAGCACAAGCACCGAGGAGACCGGCTCTTTCCGCCTGCCTTGGACGCATTTTGGGTGCACGCATTTTTTGCACACTTTTTGAGTGCACGGCAGGGCAAGGTTACACAGGCCAAGGGGCGCTGCACCGCTGAGGCCGCCCCACACGGCTGCAGGGGGAGCAAAGTGTCTTTGCACTGAACTTGTACCGAGAGTGCCTCGTCTTTTCCAAACGCCGGGTAGGACAGGGGCGTGGTGCACCAGCTTCGCACCATGCATGGCTACACATCGGAGGTCCGGATGTTCTCATCGTCCAGGTTGAAGGTAAACGGCTTCTCTTTGAGGTGCTGGGGTTCGGACTTGTGCCGCACACGCTTCCCTTGCCTGGCGCTCATGTCACGCTCGGTAAACGCCGGCACAAACACCGAGTCTCTCAGCTGCCCAGGTGCCTCTTCTATCGTGGGCTGCTTCCCTTCTGGCTGTGGCACTGGCGTCCAAGGCTGCCAGGAGGATGTGGAAGGGCCTTTGCAGAGGGCTCTCTTCTCCTCGCCTGGCTGCCTCAGCTGGGAAAGGGAGGCGGTCGATGAGCTGGAATGATTGGAGCCCCCTTGTCTGTTCATGGAAAAGGACCTCATGAAGGACGTTTCCTGCCAAGACACAAAGAGGGGTTTTAGTTCCTCTGGACACTGCCCCCGAGCCCCTTGAGAACGGGACGTATGCTCTTTACAGGCTTGCAGCTTTGAAGCAGTGAAAAGGACACGAAGTAAGTTATGCCCTTTGCTCTTGTGGACTCTTCTGCCCAGGCAGCTGGTAGAAGAGTGGAGCTCCCCCCTGTCCCACCAGGCAAGGGTATCTAATGCTACTTGCTTTCTACACCCCTTCTCTGGATGAGAGACAGACACTTGCAGAGGCACCAAAGCCACATCCAAGAAAGAAGCAAATTTTCTGAACATTTGCATGAACA